CCCCCCCCCCCCTTGGTATTAGACTATTACTGAACGCTCAGGAATAGATTTTAAAATCTATTTTCTTTTTTACCCCTTTCTTTAACCTAATTTTTTTATCCTATATATAAATTTATCCTATTTCATCACCGTCGTCGCCGCCATCGCCGCCACCACCACCACCATCGCCACAACTGTCGCCGCCCACCACCACCACCTCCGCCACCACTGCCACCGCCCCTACCACCACTACCACCCCAGCACCACCACCACCACCATCACCACTACCGCCGCCACCATCGCCGCCGCCACCACCACCACCACCACCATCACCGCCGCCGCCACCACCACCACCGCCACCAAAACCACCACCGCCACCAAAATCACCACAACCACCACCCAGCAACACCACCGCTACCACCACCACCACCGCCGCCACAACCGTCGCCGCCCCCACCAGCACTGTCACAACCGTCACCGTCAATCGCCACCTTCACCACCACCACCATCGCCCCCACCACTACCACCGCCACCACCACCACTACCACCCCAGCAACAGCACCACCACCGCCACCACCGCATATTTTTATAAGGGTATTTATGTCTTTTAAAACATATTTCATTTCTATTCCTTAAATCAACCAAACACTGTAATATAATTCCTAAAGTCTATTCCTTCCGTGAACCAAACAATAGAATACAATTCCTATTCTATTCCTTGCCTATTCCATTCCTTATGGAATAGCATTCCTATTACCTCAAAATTGATTCCATGAACCAAACGTGTTGTTAGGGATTGGATTAGGTCATCTTTTGTAAATGATGCTATGTGATTGAATTGAGTTATAATTAAGCTAGTGTAATGACTTGATGATGTCTATAGTTGTTAGTTTGGTGTAGTGGTTTGTATTGACTCTTGTATGGTTTTGGCCAAATTATGTTAGAGGTACATGGATAAAGTGTTGTCACTACGAGAATAGAGGAACACCTTAGCCAAACCTCTCCCTAGTCCAATCTCTCTTGAGAAAAGGGAGTTACGTGGAAGGAGACATAAACATCATATCACAAGTAATTTAAGTCACCAAGAGAGTGGAGCCAACTTCCAATTGAAAGTCCAATGTCCACAGGAGCAAAAAGTGCTCGCCTGCTTGACAAAACAAATATTAATTAATTTCTAAAAAAATTATTGGTCTATTATTCACTCATTTAGATTTTACTAAAATCGATAGTGTTAAAGTGACATTGCAGTGAAGTCGTAGTTAAAAATCTAATTTATTATGGAGTATATACAAGTCACTCGGGTTCAACTTTTGAAAATTATGGTAGTACGCTACTTTTGTTACATTAGTTTATATAGCCAACTAGCGGTATTAATATCAACAAGTTGCATATATGAACCAATTGCCAGAAATTTATGGGCGAAGACTTCCGTAGACTATAAGTCGTCGATGAGAGGACTGAATAGTGAATACTTCTGTCGCATTCCACGCGGTAAGCTTGAAGATGTTACTTAAAATTTGCAGCTTTTCCTTCAAAGAAAATAATGAATTATATATATAATAATGTACCAAATTTCACATAGTATTATGGATCCTAGATCGAAACTACAAGGTACATAATCCATTCTTGTAACGTACATAATTTCATAATACACGACACAAAAAATCACAACACAAGACACATACACATGTTATATATTTACTTATATTTTTCAAATTTGATTTAGGTACATAATTTGTGTAATAGGAACAAAATTTTTTCACAACACAAGACACATAATTTCATAATATAAGCACAATTACTAATTTGTTTCAGGTATAGAATTCATACTCTGAAATTACAGAATTTTATAATACAAGACATAAAAACTCACAACATAAGACACATACACTATAGTCCACAGTGCACTGTGAACTTTGGTCCATGATATAGAGATTGAATGTTGGCCTACCCATGTTTGAGCGTCAAATTGCAAAATTATTTGTTTTAATATTTTATAATCTTTTATACTAACTCACGAATTGACTTATAAAACACCAATCGGTATAAAGTGAATTAAGACTAGAGAAATTTGACCCACATATTTAACAGTCGTCCAACCAGTAAAAAACCACAGAAATGGTATAGCAACCCATCGTGAGGTAGATAAAAATAGGACATTACTGATATATTGTGCACCTAATGCTAATTAAAATGGTTCAGGAAATTTGGAGAAGTTGCCATTACTGTTATTAAAACTGCTAGCTAATACAGATAGGTTGAGACTTGAGATTATAGGTTTATTATTATGATAAAAGTTGTAACTAATAATGAAGGTATAATTGTACGTATAGGACATTGTTCAAGTATAGGGATGTTTTATGTGAAAGATGGAGTGAGATCTGAGCCGATAATCAAATATAATCTAGATCAATGGCTCAAATCAATGAAGATTAAAAAACAAAAACAAAAAAAAAAACAAAAAACAAAGTGTAAACCACACACCTTAAAAAAGAAAACCTTGCAAGAAGGAAAACCAGACTGACGAACACCTTAAGTTTCAACAAAAATGCACCTTAAGTTCTTAACTGAAGAACTGATGCACCTTAAGCACAGAAAACAACGCACCTTAAGAAGGAAAATCATGCGCCTTAAGTTTGACCTAAAGGTAAAAAGACCAAATTGCCACCGCGTTTTTTTTTAATATGCGTTCAATCTGGACGGTCCTTTTTAGCGAGATCAACGGCTATCATTCAACTTCATCTTTCTCCTGAGCACAGTATCCACATGTGATCTCTTTATATATATATATATATATATATATATATATATATATATATATATATATATATATATATATATATATATATATATATATAGGCTTCGAATCTGGTGCAACCCCTATACTAGATGAGATCATGATATCCATTGATTCATTTTCCATAAATGGTTGAGATTATAAGAGATTGTAAAAGTAATTAAGGATATATTTAAATCAAAAGGATTAAATAGTAATTGTAGATATATGTTTAATTATGGATAAAATTCAATTGGAATCTTAAGCATTATATTAGGGGATTATGAATGAAAAATGATATTTTAAATTATGAGGGACCCTATCAATAGTAATAATTAATTATATTTTGTACATCTGAAATTTTAAATTATGAAAAATTTTACGGCGGTATGTGCGTGGATGTGGAATGGTGTGTGCGTTTTATAGTTTGCCATGGTGTACACCTCCTGTTACAGAAAACCACACACGCCATTCCACGCCCGCGCACACACCATCGTAAAATTCCCCACAATTTAAAAAAAAAAAAAAAAAAAACACAAGAAGCCCAATACTATATCGACTACGCACTGATTAGCTACTCGAAATTCAAACCCGATACCCAAATTAGATTCGTATATTTTTGTTTTCTTTTGGATACGTTTCGCACACGCCCGAAACTAGTAAAACACAAACCAAAATGTACATGCATGTATCACGAAACGCACATACCAAAACGCATAATTTTATGAAAAAACCAGCACGCCATGGTGTACGAGCCCTGTTACATTAAAACGCACACACAATTCCACACCCACGCACACACCGCCGTAAAATTCCAAAGAAAATCACTAAGAGAGAGAGAGAAATATTGATTAAGGAGAGCTGAAATAACGGTACAAATCTTTATAAACATGGAAATAAATGAAATGGAAAGTAATATATAAATATAGTGCTTAAGGACAAAAAGACTCATGCTTCATCTAAAATCAGTATAACATGGGATCCAAGTGGTAATCAATCTGAATCATCAAAAAATTAAAATCAACGATCAGGGAGTGTGCTCACGGGCTCGGCTGACTATGGGGTGTGCACCGGATTCAAAATATATATATATATATATATATATATATATATATATATATATATATATATATATATATATATACACACACACACACACACACACACACATATTTATATATTTCTTATTGTACCCCTAATTAAATTTATTTCCTATTTCACTACCACCATCACCGCCACTGACGCCACCACCACCAGCATCACACCATCGTCGCCGCCACAACCACCACCACCACCACCACCTCACCACCACATATTTTTATAAGGGTATTTATGTCTTTTAAAAGATATTTCATTTCTATTTCTTAAACCAACCAAACACTGTAATATAATTCCTAAAGTCTATACCTTCCGCGAACCAAACAATAGAATACAATTCCTATTCTATTCCTTGTCTATTTCATTCATTATGGAATAACATTCCTATTACCCAAAAATTCATTCAGTGAACCAAACGTGCTGTAAATACTTGAATAACTGGATAAGACCACGTGCGGCCTAAAAAACATCTTTGGTACGAAAATTAACTTTTTGCCTACTTAATTATAATATCTATAATTAATGTTAATATGTAAAATCTCTTATAAGATCAATACGTGAGACTTGTCAAATTTTTCATATGTTAATTACATTTTTCTTCATAAGTTTTACAATTTTTCTCATGAGTAGCTGTGGGTGTCAGCTAGATTGGTCGAGTTTAGTCCTGCTCGATTCGATACGTGGCGCTGTGATTTACCATGGAATAATATGTTTAAGGCCATGTTTGGTAAAATGCTTGTTAGCTGATAGTTGTTAGCTGTTAGTTGATTGTGTTAATTAAAGGGTATAAATAGTTGATAACATTAGCGGATTGTAGAAAAATATTTGGTAAATTAGTTGTTAGCTGATAGCTATTTGGTATAATTTCTTTTCTCATAAAGCTAATTGAAAAAGTTCCTTGGAGTAGCTTTTTGAATTTTCGGAGTTGCAAAAAGCTAATTAACCAAACATTTATATTGATATTTTAACTAAATCAAACAATTAATAGTGGTCAAATAAGCTACTAGTTTTAAGTTGGATATGGTAAGGAGATAGCGAAGGAAATTTGACAAGGAAATTTAAGGATGTTCGCCTATAAATACTAACACATTGAGAGCCTGCACATCCATCCTCATTAATCAAAACACATAAATCATTCCATCACATATACTAGCTATCTCCTATGGCGCTCAACTTTCATTTCAGATTAGTTGTTCTTGCAGCCCTTTCCTTGTTGGGGTTGTTGGCATTGGCATCTCAAGCCACCGCCCGTACCCTCGAAGAAACTTCCTTGCTCTTGCGCCATGAGAAGTGGATGACTCGCCATGGGCGTTCATATAAAGATGATGTCGAGAAAGCAAAACGGTTCCAAATCTTCAAAGAAAACCTAAAGTTTATCGAGTCTTTCAACAAGGCTGGTAACCTTTCTTACAAACTTGGCACCAACAAGTTTACGGATCTAACTATAGAGGAGTTCCGAGCCACCATGCTTAATGAAGACAAGTCATCACCAGTCCCTAAGACTTCAAAACCTGCTTCCTTTACGAATGAGAGTTTGGCTCAAATTCCATACTCTTTGGACTGGAGAGAGCATGGTGCTGTGACTGGTATCAAAGACCAAGGACACTGTGGTACGGAACTATTAACAATTATTGCATAACTTTATTTAATTTTGGTTTTAATAAAATGTCATTTTCAATTGCTCAAGTGTGGACCACAAGTATTTTGGTTATTGTCTTACCAGTGCATTTTACATGGTTTTTGAAATAGTAGCAAGTTTTTGGCTGATGGAAACTATGATTTTTGGCCAATTTTACTTCCCGCAAAACAAGAATTTTTCTAGGAAGAAAAAAAAAAAAAAAAAAAAAAAAAAAAACAGCGCGCTAGCGTGAAATAGCGGGTTTAGGCGCAACTTCGCGCCTGCTGAGGACGCGTCAGAGTGGCCGCCTGACTGAAACTAACCCTTTTATATGCTGTTTTTTTTTTTTTTAATTGTCAGAATATTTTTTTTTTCTTTTCACTTTCTCTCCTATTTTTGTCTCTCCTACATGACATTCTTAAAAATTGTGCAAACTCCTATGGATGCTCGGATTAGGTTGTTGCTGGGCATTTGCTGCGGTGGCGGCTGTAGAAGGAATAACCAAAATAAAAACAGGCCAATTAATTTCCTTATCCGAACAACAACTCGTCGACTGCGACCCTAACAGTAGCGGCTGCGGCGGCGGAAACAGAACGGAGGCCTTCCAATTCATAAAGGGCAGCGGCGGCCTCATGGCGGAGTCCGACTACCCGTACGAGGGTGTCGAGGCAAGTTGCAACACGCAAACCCTTGGCAACCCAGCTGCCACCATTGCAGGCTATCAAAAGGTGGAAGCCAGCTAATCAGCTCTCCTTGCGGCCGTCGCAAACCAGCCTATCTCAGCGGGAATCACCCTTGACGGAACATTGTTCCATGGCTACTCGAGAACAAACGGAATTTTCACCGGCTACGACAACACCGGTGATTGCGGGTCCGGACACTATCATGTTTTTTTTTAATATGCGTTCAATCTGGACGGTCCTTTTTAGCGAGATCAACGGCTATCATTCAACTTCATCTTTCTCCTGAGCACAGTATCCACATGTGATCTCTGTATATATATATATATATATATATATATATATATATATATATATATATATATATATATATATATATATATATATATATATAGGCTTCGAATCTGATGCAACCCCTATACTAGATGAGATCATGATATCCATTGATTCATTTTCCATAAATGGTTGAGATTATAAGAGATTGTAAAAGTAATTAAGGATATATTTAAATCAAAAGCATTAAATAGTAATTGTAGATATATGTTTAATTATGGATATAATTCAATTGGAATCTTAAGCATTATATTAGGGGATTATGAATGAAAAATGATATTTTAAATTATGAGGGACCCTATCAATAGTAATAATTAATTATATTTTGTACATCTGAAATTTTAAATTATGAAAAATTTTACGGCGGTATGTGCGTGGATGTGGAATGGTGTGTGCGTTTTATAGTTTGCCATGGTGTACACCTCCTGTTACAGAAAACCACACACGCCATTCCACGCCCGCGCACACACCATCGTAAAATTTCCCACAATTTAAAAAAAAAAAAAAAAAACACAAGAAGCCCAATACTATATCTACTACGCACTGATTAGCTACTCGAAATTCAAACGCCGATACCCAAATTAGATTCGTATATTTTTGTTTTCTTTTGGATACGTTTCGCACACGCCCGAAACTAGTAAAACACAAACCAAAATGTACATGCATGTATCACGAAACGCACATACCAAAACGCATAATTTTGTGAAAAAACCAGCACGCCATGGTGTACGAGCCCTGTTACAGTAAAACGCACACACAATTCCACACCCACGCACACACCGCCGTAAAATTCCAAAGAAAATCACTAAGAGAGAGAGAAATATTGATTAAGGAGAGCTGAAATAACGGTACAAATCTTTATAAACATGGAAATAAATGAAATGGAAAGTAATATATAAATATAGTGCTTAAAGACTAAAAGACTCATGCTCCATCTAAAATCAGTATAACATGGGATCCAAGTGGTAATCAATCTGAATCATCAAAAAATTAAAATCAACGATCAGGGAGTGTGCTCACGGGCTCGGCTGACTATGGGGTGTGCACCGGATTCAAAAATTAAAATCAACGATCAGGTAGTACCTCTTGTTCTATTTTTATAACTTATTTACTTGATAGTAACAACAACTGTGCAGGTAGTCCGAATACTAATGCTGCAACGTGTCCAGTTTCATCAATAATTTCCACACCCATTTTGCGCCTATTCATTTTTAAGTTCATATTTTTGAAATTAGTATGAATGAGGGTATAGTAATATTTGATTTTGTGTGTGCGCTTTTTTTTTTTTTGTTTAAATTGTTTTTTTATTGAATTGATACTAACCTTGGTGTTAAATTGTTTGTCACTACATAAACATTTGTTAAACAGTGACTACATCCTATATACTAAATGTTTTTGTTGTCAATATTGATACTGATTTTGTCTTTAATCTAAGCAAGTTGAGCCTCGAAGATGAAATTAAATGTAAATTTATATTAGTTCTAATATATTTAATGAATGCACAATAAGTATTTTACATACAGGATCAATAAATGCATCAACGACGGCTAGTTTGAAATTTCTTCATTTTCTAGATTTGTCAAATTGATTGCAGTATTGTAATAGTCTCGGCATCTTTTCAATACGTCAATTAGTGTGTCACAGTGTTCTATTGCACAAGGATTCATTGAAAATTAAACAAGAATTCATCGGTATGTATTATTGTTATCGCACAACACCACGATCATTATAGGAATGATATTTTTATGTGTTGGGTGGAGTCCGTTAAAAGGTCAAGTTCAACAATTGGTAGGCCAATTTCCGGACGACATTCGTGCCCACAGGTGCCGGCGCACGAGAGCTCGGGCTTGAATCAAGCCTTTTCGATCTCTTCTAGTTGGATTTTGATTTGCACCCCCGCCCCCCCCTCCCCCCGCGCGAGAGAGCCTCTATGTTATACAATTCAACAAGCTTCAAAAGAGCTCTTGTACATAAGGGGGGCAAATCTTCTTTCCAAACCAATGTGGGACAAAGTCCACTATTTCCCTTCATTTCCCAACTCAAATGGGTCTACTTTGAGAATCAATATCTCATTCACCCATTATCCGTTTTGAGCGTACAATATATCAATCTCTTCGTCTCACTACGAAGAACCCGAATCCACTTTGACCCGACCCAAATCAGAAGTGGACCCCATTGATAATTGTACCACAAAATAGCCACTTAATATGTCATTTTAAGCTAATTTTTCCAACAATCCCCCACATGAATGAAAATTGATTTTCGAGGTAGTTTTAAAATCGGAAACAACTGTGTTCAACGGTCGATCCCTGCATAGGATAGGTAGGGTCACACCCTTTGAACCTTCCCTCGTGAAGATACATTTACTCTACTGACTGTACGGTAAAACGCGATGTCTTTGAACCGACTGCCGTTTGTGTAGACGATGACATATGTCACACAGGAACCTCCCAACCATGCTTTGTTCTCATGACTGTGCCCATTTTGGTCGTGGGTCGCCATTCCTGGTTCTGCAAGAGTTTGTGAAGAATTATGCCCATCAATTCTCCTTTGAAGCTACCCTCACTTCTCTCTCACATAGGTGATTCTTTCCCGAGTATCCCGCATACTCACATATGTCAACCGACATTCGAATCACTAAAGCATTTAACATGCTAACCTTGTGCGGGAGCCACTGTTTCTAACGAGGAGTGGTTGGGAATCCGAGACCCCTACAGTGACACGCTCCGTTTCATAATTTAGTTGTCTCATTGAACCTAGGTGCCAGCTAGGTTGGGTGTCCACTATAGAACTTTATACCAAGGGCTTTAGACCCATTCCTCGTCTCAACTTCTCCACAGCTACTCTACATAACCCTTTGGTTAGCGGATCCGCTATATTGTCTTTTGACTTTACGTAATCAATCGAGACAACACCAGTTGTGAGAAGTTGTCTAATGGTATTATGTCTACGACGCACATGTCTAGACTTACCATTATACATATGATTCTGTACTCTTCCAATTGCGGTTTGACTATCACAATGCACACACATTGGAGGTACAGGTCTTTCCCAATTAGGAATATCCTCTAAAAAATGGCGTAGCCATTCAGCCTCTGCGCAACACTTGTCCAAGGCTATCAGCTCAGATTCCATCGTGGATCTAGCTATCACGGTCTTTTTAGAGGATTTCCATGCAACGGCTACACCGGCTAGTGTAATCACGCAGCCACTCGTGGACTTGGAGTCCTTAATATCAGACATCCAGCTAGCGTCGCTATACCCTTCAAGTACAGCAGGATATCTCCCATAGTGCAGTCCAAGGTCTTGAGTATACCTTAAGTATCTCAGAACCTTCACTATTGCCATCCAGTGCATGGCACCGGGGTTACTCGTATATCTACTGAGTTTACTAACCGCAAAGGCAATGTCCGGCCTAGTACAGCTCATTAGATACATCAAACTACCAATAACCCGAGCATACTCTACTTGAGAAATACACTCCCCGTGGTTCTTGGTTAGATGAACGCTTCGATCTAATGGCATCCTAGTCCCTTGATCATTATCCTTGTTACATTTTTTCAAGGATCGATTTTATCAATATAATGTGATTGGCTCAACACAAGACCATCAGGTCTTCTAATGATTCTAATCCCGAGGATTAAATCAGCCAAACCCATATCCTTCATGTCAAATCTCGCATTTAACATGTTTTTGGTAGACTTGATCATCCGATCGTTACTACCAACGATGAGCATATCATCTACGTATAAACAAAGAATGACATAGCCGTCTATCGTTTCCTTAACGTAGACACATTTGTCAGTTTCATTTATTCTAAACCCATTAGTCAACATCGCATGGTCAAACTTCTCGTGCCACTGCTTAGGCGCTTGTTTTAAACTATATAGCGATTTAACCAACTTACACACTTTCCTTTCTTGGCCCCGAACCACGAACCCTTCGGGTTGTTCCATATAGATTTCCTCATCTAATTCGTCATTTAGAAAAGCGGTTTTAACGTCCAGTTGATGAACTTCCAGATTCCGCAACGCGGCTATGGCAAGTATCATCCGAATGGAGTTTATTCTCGTCACGGGAGAATACATGTCGAAGTAATCAAGGCCCTCGCGTTGCCTGTAACCCTTGATTACAAGCATAGTCTTATACTTCTCGATGGAACCATCGGGTTTCATCTTCCTTTTAAAGACCCACTTGGATCCTAAGGGTTTACTACCCGGAGGAAGATCAACAAGTTCCCAAGTGTGATTCTGTAAAATAGAATCCACTTCGCTTTTAATAGCCTCTTTCCACATTGGTCCTTCTGTAGAAGTCACGGCTTCTACATACGTTCGAGGCTCGTTCTCTATCAAACAAGATAGAAAATCGGGTTCATTTTCTAATAAACAAGTTAGAGTACTCGGATCGTACTCCAACAAGTAAGTTAGAAAATCAGGACCAAATGATTTTCCAACTCTCGCCAGCTTACTGCGTCTCGGCTCGAGCTCGGGTTCTCTCTCGGATTCCCCACTATCATTGTCCATAGCTTCGTCAAACGTTCGTTTTGACGTACTGTCCCTCGTTGGACCTACAAGGAAATACATTTTCAAAGAAAGATGCATTCCTTGATTCTATTATCGTGTTCTCGTGTACGTTCGGATTATGGGACTCGTGTACTAAGAACCGATAAGCACTACTATTATGTGCATAGCCAATAAAGATACAGTCCACCGTCTTGGGACCTATCTTTA